CATAGCCTAATACATAGCCGCCGTCTATACATAGTCTATACATAGCCTAAGGACTATACATAGACTGCACTTAGTCTCTTTAGTAGTCTATACATAGCCGTCTATACATAGTCGATACATCCTAAGGCTGTCTCTTATACACATCTAGATGTGTATAAGAGACAGGAGAGAGAGAGAGAGAGAGAGAGAGAGAGAGAGAGAGAGAGAGAAACACACACACACACACAGAGAGAGAGAGAGAGAGAGAGAGAGAGAGAGAGAGAGAGAGAGAGAGAGAGAGAGAGAGAGATGCCTGTTTTCTTGAGAGAGAGAGAGAGAGAGAGAGAGAGAGAGAGAGAGAGAGATGCCTGTTTTCTTTTTTAGTGGTGGTTTGAGAGTTGCCTATTTTGATATGTGCAGGAGTGTGAGCTTTACGGCAGACGGGTGTGTTGGCCTCTCTCACCAAATTGGAGGTACACGCAGTACAAGGTGGAAGCCGGTATTTAGAAAAAAAAATTACAGACAGTCAGATAAGATCAGGTAAAAACATCAACATTAAATAAGGTCGGAGAAGATGAAATAGAAGGTTGGATAAGATTCAAGAATCAAGATACAAGATCACATCATATTTTGTTGGATAACTTGGGATGCGATGCAGATTGGATCAGATTGGATTGGATTGGATTGGGGGCATTGGTCCGCATACAACGAACAACGATTACAGCCTGCGAATTGAGAATGAATCTTCCGCTAGAACATGGAAAGATGCATCATCCAACAGAACAAGCAGTAATAACAGCAGTGTGCATACTGAACAACCTAACATCAAGACCAGTAGTAACAAATAACCGTGTAGCCTGCGAAATGAGAATGAATCTTCCTCTAGAACATGGAAATATACACCGCCATAATTTCTGTCTTTTGTGCATGTGGTGAGTGGTAGAGTGAGGCCTTGGATTAGATTGGAATGGACTGGAATGAAATCATAGTCGCAGTCACAGCTGAAAAGCACCAAAACAAAAAAGGATTGGGCAATGATAAAGTTGGTTGGGGGGGGGGGGGTTGAAATGACCATCCGATCTTTCGCTATACCAATCGCTGACAAGGATTAAAAAAAAAAAAAAAAAAAGACGATCTGATGCAGGGCCGGAGTGTACAATTTTCTCATCCCACTTCCCTACCTGGCATTGAAAACACTAAACCCTTATCCTCACTCCTGTTGACAACAACAACAAAAACCCTAAACCCTAATACTCACTGCTCTAGACAACAACCACAAGCAAAGACTCGAGTGTTTTGAATAGAGGATCTTCTCTCTCTCTCTCTCTCTCTCTCTCTCTCTCTCTCTCGCTCGCTCGCTCGCTCGATCTCGATCTCGATCTCGATCTCAATCTCTCTCTCTCTCGCTCGCTTGCTCGCTCGAATGGTTATGCGCATGGATGTGCATGATTCTTTCTATCTGTCACATTCCATGCCGTTAATTTGCACTCCTAAGTAACCGGTTGATGAGCTTTGCCTCACGGTTTTGCTCTGCTTCTGAAAAGGACAGGCAGCCTCAAACATTCCAATGACACGTGGCATGCAGATATGGCACACACGAGGAAGGAAAAAGGCAACATACCAACAAACAGAAAAGAGGGTCAGTAGCAATCTTGGGCCGGGAAAAACAAAACTAAACAAAATTCAGTTTCACATCCATAGATTCCATACAATGAAAAAATCATTCTTCAAATTGCCCTTTTTTCCTTCTCTCTCCTGCGCTCCCCCCC